AGTTGCCTTGGAGTTCTGGATCTCATATTTCAGATTGTGGGGTCGATACAAATCTCGATTCCATTCCAGGAGCGTCTCCGTACCAAGTAGACCTTCAGCTGCTCCAGGATCAATGATGAGTCCATGCCTAGGGCGTCCTTTCACTGTATGTAGAACCAGGTAGGGGTCATCCTCGACCGTCGTGACGTTGCTCTTCTCCAGGAAGGGGTTGCTCCGATTCTGCGAGATGTCTTCCTCGTGCTGACTACTGGCATGTGTCATCGCTGAATTCGTCTCCACGTATCCGTTCCTGATGACCACGAGGGAGTACTGCTTATTTAACTTCTGTGCCAGTGAAAGTGGTGCTGCCGATGAACTCGAAGTCTGTGGCGTCGGCTTCCTCTGTCTATTCTCCACTGGGAATGGTGTCGTATCTCCAAGAATCGGTGATTTGTACTCCTTCTTGCTTGCTGAATCACTTTTGTCCCAACGGTCTAGCAATTCCACTGTGTCTCCTTCAGGTACTTCTTGCTCTGCTATTTCCGGTACCAATCCCTGTCGTAACACAGTTATCGTGCTTGCCGTCGATGTCGATGGTGATTCGATATTTATCCACGATCCTGGTGGTCTCGTCTTCATCATGGTGGGTGTTGACGACACTGCAGGAATTGGTGAGGAATATCCGGTCACGTTCGCGTAATGCTTGCCTTTCCCTTTCGACTTGCCCGGTGATGGACTTGGTGAAGGGCCAGAGCTTGCTGAGGAGTGGTTGTCTTCTGCTGGGCAACCAGTCCGATCATGCCAACGACTACTGCAAATGTCACATCCTTCCTGTCGTTGACTGGAGCCGCCCTGACGATCATTACTTCCTCCTTTGCTCTTGTTCTTGCCCTTGCCTTTACCTTTGGGGAAACGACGACGAAAACCTCGGCCTCGACTACCACCACGGCCCTTACCCTTTCGCGATTTGCCACGTCCTTTGCTTTTACCTCCGAAGTAGGTCTCGGTGTAGTCATCGTCCTGATCGGGTTCGAGGTATTCCGTCATGTTGCCGTCCGTGTCGTACCTCGCCCAGATGTCTTCGTACTCCTGATAATACCATTCTCCGTCTTGAGTGGCTGTCCATCCGCTGTCTGCGTCGTAGCCCCACTCGTACTTGTTCTCGTCGTAGTCGTCGTACCAGTCGTCTCCTTCCGCGATGTCATCAACTTCACCTGATTCGCCGTACCAAGCCCAGTCATGGTGTTGACCTGCTTGCTCTGCTTGCCCAATCTCATCATCAATCCGCGTAGCGTCTGGTACTGTATGAGGTCGCCTGCGATGTGTACCTTCAAATCGTCCATTCTTTTCTCGGAGAGCCCACATAGCTTCAATAGAAAGTGACTGCGTCCCGTGTCATTCATGATGAGGCCTCCTTCCTCGGCCGCGTCTTCGAAGGCCAATTCGAAACTCGAAATCCATGTTGGCAAATCTTGATGATGTCCTCGTTGACACTCGAAACATGAGTCGAGCACGACTCCAACTCTGTCTTGATCATGTAGTTCATATAGTGCTCGTTGCTGTTCTAAGAATACTTTGACTCCTGCTTGTTCTGCTGCAATGCCTAGAGCTGGAATAGCTGGGACTGGCGGTAATGCGATGGCCTCATCTCCTCTATGTTGTATTCCGTCTCGATGCATCGTGAAGCTCATCGCCGCTGTGAATGGTGCGCCTTGAAGGCGTGAGATGATCAATGGTCCAATGCGTTCGTATCTATCCTCATCCGTGATTCGCCACCATATTCTCAGCTTCTGCATATATCGTCTGAACGTGTATCCTCTAACATGTGGCCGCCACCCTGGCGGCACGAACTTCGTGAACTCCTCGAGCTGTAGATAATTGCCTCCAGGGCCTCCACTGAACTGCTGCTGCTGCTGCGCCATGTTGGCGTAGAAAAAGGTGTAAGATAGAAACACTCCGTAGATCATCATGCGTGATCGCGTGATTCGGGATGCCGTTGGCAATCCACTCCTGATTGATGCTGTCGGCGTGCTCGGATCCACTCGTGGGTGATGCTGTCGGCGCGCTCGCCGTGCTTGATCCACTCCTGGATGTTGCTGACGGCGTGCTTGCCGTACTTGATCCACCTCGTATGGATACTGGAAATGGAAATATCTGCCTGCGGGTGCGCGGGCGCGCGCTGAAGAGCGCGCGAGGGTGGGCCGGCCGACCGGGGTGGCCCGCGGAGTTGTCAGCTCCGCTACCAAAGCGGGCTTTTCAGCACTTGAGCCACAGTATGTTTACGGTCAATGGCTATAAACAGATAGCAGCGTAAAGGGTAGCTTGCGTCCAGCGGTGGCGACTAACTATTCCTCTAAGAGCCTCTGAAGTTCTACAATCCTAATGGGATCTTGCCTATAATCTCACTGGAGGAGGAGGAGGAGCAGGAGCAGGAGCAGGAGCAGGAGCAGGAGCAGGAGCAGGAGCAGGAGCGGGAGCAGGAGCAGGGAAAAGAGGAGGAGGAGGAGGAGGAGGAGGAGGA